ATAGGTGATGTTGAATTCACTGAGCTCCATTGTCTGCTTTAGTAGTCGAATGGAATGCTCTGGTCGTGTGAGTACAGACCTCAATGGATCGTGACGACCCGAATTTGATGCATCTGAAAGTACGGTCAATGTATGCGAGCAAAAATAATCAAGCAAATGTTAGTTTTTCCATAATTGGATACCTCATTTCGGCATCGTGAAGCACTCAAGTCTTGTAGTAGCCTAGGTATTGCTTTTATACCTCCTCTCAGACCAGGATTGAGCATACAACATCTTGTCTAACTCTGAGGTAGAGGGACATTTCTTCCTTGGCTTCTGACTCTGGAGCACTGATGGTGATACCAATGAATCTTTCAAGTTCCTGAACGCCTCCTCACATTCGATTGTCCATTCAAAACATTAATTCTTCCTTTGAGCCTTAAAGAACGTTATGCACTAGTCACCCGATTTTGGGATTAAACAGCTGAGTTTGGCAACCGACCAGGTAACCTCTGAATTTCCTTGGTACTCCGTGGAGGTGGCATATCTAGGATCGTATGTAGTTTTTTTAAATGGGCTTTCAGTCCTTCGAAAGTCAGTAGGAGGCAGAGGAACTTTTCGGTCCACGCTCCAAAGGTGCACTTGGAGGTAATTAATCTCATATTGAGTTTTTTGAGTGTTTCGAATGTCTCTTTCACATCTTCGATGCGTTGTTTGGGTGATTTAGTTTTAACTAGGATATCATCGACATACACCTTAACATTTTTCCTTTCTAATTAGAAAAAATTACATCCATGAGGCACTGATAGGTTGCCCTAGCATTCTTAAGCTTGAAGGGAATTACATTACAATAAAATATGTCACAGTAATGAAAGTTGTTTCTCTGCATCGACCAGGTGTATCTTTATCTGGTGGTAGCTGGAGTAAGCTTTGAGGAAACTCATGAACGATTATTTGACCACAGCATCCACCAAGGTTTTAATCTTCGGTAGGGAGGACGTGTCTTTTGGGCAAGTGGCATTGAGGTTAGTGAAGTTGATGCACATCCACCATTTGTCGTTGGCCTTCTTAACCATCACGACGTTTGAGAGCCAGGTCGGGCACTGAACTTCATGGATGTAGCCAGCATTCAACAGCTTTTGTACCTCCGCCGCTATTAGTTCGGCCAAATTTCTGGCGATCGACTAAATCATCGTTGAACTGGTCGATGCATCGATTGAAACGTCAGGCATCTCCGCTGCGGTCCAAGTGAACACATCCCGGTGCTCCTGAAGCATTTGTTTCAGCTAGTTCTTGAACCCTACATCAAAATGTTCACTGATGAGGAAAACCTTATGGGTTCTTCATTGGACACGGGTAATTCAAGGATGGCCTCACTGGTCACCATATCTTCATTCCTCTGGGTCTGGATGTTGAGCAATCCGTGGCAAGATTCGGGATCGCTAGCAGGTAGCAACTCCTAAACTGCTCCAAGTTCCCCCAGAAAGTAATTATCTCCCTGTCACTTGAGAACTTTATTGCCACATGGTAGGTAGAAGTTACTGCTGGTAGTTGTTCAGGAGTGGCCGACCAAATATGACATTATAGGTCTGTGGGGATTCCACTACGAGAAATCCTTTTGTACTGTTGTATTGCTTCCCATGATCTCATCAAGGCATGGCTAGGGCGATGAGGCCCAATGCCTCCTTTCATTTCCTAGAGAATCTGAATAATGGGTCGAGTGGTGATGTCAACCAGTCACTCTTCAACCAATCTTATCAAACACCGTCTTGAACATAATGTTCACCTAACTTCTAGTATCAACAAGGATACTACCCACCTGGTATTTGTTGATTAGTATTGTGATGACGATCACCTCGTTGTAGAGGTTCCCCTTCGGTGGGAGGCATGAGTCTGTAAAGACATTGAGTAAGTGGTTACGTGTGTATGGGATGGCAAAACATACATCGTCCAAACATTGGCTTTTCAAATTGAAGGCCCCCCTCCCCTTTGAAGATGGTTGGGATTATTCCCACCACATGGACCTCATTTGCTCGAACAGGCTCATTTGGGGGTTCTCTCACTAGGGCCTTGCCCTGTCGTTGAGTATGCGTGTTGGTCACTATGAACTCCTTGAGTTTCCCTATGCATATGAGCTCCTCGATCAAATTCCAAAGGTGACGGCACTCCTCCGTGTCATGATCGTGGTCTCGGTGGTACTGGTAGTACCTTTTTGGGTCTCATAAAGTTGGGGACGTCTTCAACGACGAAGCTGATTTGAAATAGTTCTTGTTCTGGATGGCCCCGACTATTTCGGACATTGATACATCGAGGGGTGTCAAACCCTGCATTTTATGATAATCAAGCAATCCCTCATAATATCATGATGATCGCTATTCAAAGCTTTGCTTCTGGTCACGGTGACCCTGGTTATTTCCCTGCTGATCTTGGGACCAGGAGCTATTGCTTTGGTGACCTGCGGAGGACTGTTTGTCTTTCACCTTCCATGATTTGTTTTGTTTTTTTCGCCACTTTAAGGAATGGTCAGCGACTCAATCCTACCTCTAGGGGAACCTTGAAGGTGTTCTTTAAGGAGTATATGTTTGTTCGTCATCTACAATACTTCTGCAAAAATAGTAATTTTAAACAAGTTTAGATAATACCTGAATCCTTTTCTTTGAACCCCTCGTTTTAAAGCCATTCCGGCTATTTCAGGCTCCATGTACCTAACTTCTAGCATCTCGTTCTAGAAGTGGGTGATGTGGGGTCGCAAGCTCTCATTCTTTCCCTTCTTGAGGTAGATTAGAGTGTCCGAGTCTTTTCTCAGCTTCTCTATATTCGAGAAATAAGAGATGAAGAGTTTTTTAAACTCGTAGAACTTGGGGATTGTTTCGGTCGACAGACCGTTGAACAATCGAAGGTTTGACTCCTTCAGAGTGGTTAGGAAGAGATAACATAGTATGGGGCCGTCAACCTGCAGCAGACCGACTAATGACTTGAACGATGCCACGTGGTCAATCAGATCGATCTTCCCATTGAAATGATCTAGATGTGGGATCCTTAGCTTGGGCGGGGGTACCACCTCTTTTAATTGGTGATTAAATGCTCACCCTGCGAGTGGTCGGACAAGTACTCACATAGCCAGTGTAGATGCATTGGTGTCAGTGTGTTGGGACTCACCTTGTCCCTCCGTCCGCTAGTTTCTGACTTGGTTGTCCATGATAGAAGGGTTCGCTGGTGGCGGTGACTTCAAATTGTTCCATCATGAGTCATTTGAGCCTGCATCCCTGGAATTGTGTGTGCACGTTTGATTGCACAAACTCTTTATTGTGCCTATGTGCACTATTTCTCTTTGGGAGCTTTCTCCTCCATAGTCTTTATTGTTTTACATCTGTGGCATAATCTGCACTCATCGTACCACCTTATAGAGCGTTGGATCCTAATTTGTCCTTTGTGAGTCACATCCCGAGAGTTAGAGTCGGATGAAGGAGAGGAGGAGAGAGAATAGTGTAAGCCTAAAATTCCTCATTGCAAGTCGAGAGAAATGTCTCTTTATTAGTATTTTTGCTCCTTATTTATAGGAATTTATTTTCTACAATACGGAAAGAAGGGAACAATTACGAAAACCATTCTTAATGTGATTAAAACAATATCCATTAGTTTGGATTCCATGTCATAATTGTATTACAATTTGAATTTCAATTATGGCGATGATCCGTCAATCAAATGGTTTGACATCGGTCTGAGAAAACCGGTCGAGTGCTAATTGTGCCCTTCGACATACGCGTCGACCAGCTCGAGCTGCTTGGTCGAGTAGCGATCTTGTTCGTCTTGTATCGATCGGTTTGTTGTGGCTCGACGCTCCTACGTGCATCCTGGTCGGTCGGGACCACAAGTGTGGTCCACCATCAGAGTCACTCGCCGTGGGAGACTAGTCTAATTTTCCCTGCCCGGACTGTGGTAGGGTGGTAGGACACTCTCTTTGTCTAACCTCCATTTGAGCAGTCTAATAGCTTTAAGATTCATGCTAATATTTTTTGTGCATACAATATAATTTTATCTCATGAGAAGCACAAAACAGCTGTGAATTAATTAGGGAAAATTCGACAATATCCGATGCGTGCTCATGAAAAGGGACGATGTGGCGTCGCAATCCTTTGGACATATTTAAAACAACTTAAAAGTTATTATTTTTTCATTTTCAAAACACCATAATTTATTTTTCAAATTTAAAATTAAAAAAATAAATGACATTTGAGAAAACAAAAAACAGCCCTAAGCAGAACTTCAGCAAACCATGATTTTAATATTTACCAAGCATGTGTCAATATATTATAAAATACGTGCGTATTTTTCAAATTTTATCATCATGGACATCAATTAATGTATCACTATGAACAGAAGTTAATGATGGCTTCATTTTCTGAATTCATGGAATATAATTTTAGTACTAGTAGATCTAGTGGCAAAGTTGTAATAATGGATGATTAAATCATTAAAAGAGCGAGTGTTTAGGATATCTCAGGTCTATTGCTCAAAGCAATGATGATACAGATGGAGATGTTATTAGTAGATTCAAGTTGGATGGTTAAAGTGGAGGGATGCATCCGGCCTATTGTGTGATAGAAAAGTACCACTTAAACTTGATGAGAACTTTTATAGGATGCTTTACAGCGTAGAATGCGGGCCTATGAAAGAGAAGCATAAAACTAAGTTGAGTGTTGCTGAGATGAGAACGCTTAGCTGGGTGAGTGGCTTAGCACTTAGGAACAAAATGAGAAACAAATGCATCAATGAAAGAGTTGGTGTAGCTCCAATGACAAATAAGATTAGAGATAATCGTCTTACATGATTTGGTCGCATTGAAGTGTGTCATATGATGATCTTATTAGGAGAGTATATGTTTTAGATTCGACTTACATTAAGAGAGGTAGAGGTAGATCTAAAAAGAATCGGGCATGTTGTATAAAAAATAATCTTAATTTATTAAAAATAAATGAAAATATGACACTCAATAGGACTCAATGGTGAAAAAGGATCCATGTAGCCGACCCCACTTAATGGGATAAAGGCCGAGCGTCTATTAAACACACGAGTATCATTGCACAAGTGTTCTCTATTCTCAGTGATTTACCACTACCACTTTGTACAATGAAAAGTTTAGGTTCTTCAAGGTCCTCCAACCAATCCCACATAAACTAAAACTATGCCACTCCAAATCTTGCCTTCTCGTGGTTTGGTAAGATCTTACAGACCAACATACCTAAAATCATTGAAGTAGACGACAGTACAGCAGTAAAAATAATATAACTCAACAGTTAAAACCATTAAAAAATACCTCTCTACATTTTCTGTAAAATAACTGTGTGGGACAAATGAATCTTAATCAGAACAGCCATTGCATATTTACGCTGCTGGTGTAGGGACCTTGTAGTCCAGCATCTCTCTAATGTTCAGCTTAATAGAAGGTCCCATGGAAGAACAAATGTGTGCACTCTTCCAGTAAACTCCCTTTGCTCCAGGAGGCTTGTTTGCTTCCACGGATCTCTGAAGAAAAAGCAGCAGTGTGAAATGGCTTAAGATAGCGATTATTGAAGCTAGTAGCATGACAAAGGATACGTACAACTGCAGCCATGAAGTTGACAATAAGGTCCTGTTCAGGAAAGTCTGCCTTTCCAAAGGGCAAGTGAACAATTCCAGTTTTATCTACACGGTATTCAACTTTGCCTTTCTTGAACTCTTGAATAGCCTGGAAGCGATGAGAACCGCAGCGAAGTTAATCAAAGTGATAGTTAAGCTTCTAGGGAGGTTTAGTTAATCAGATATTTCACAGCTTAGTTCTATTTAAAGCATAGAAGTTGAAATGTTTTATGAATCTGAACAAAGTCGTTCTAAATGCTGGTTCATTGGTCGCTTTATATATATATATATATATATATATATATATATATATATATGTATTCAACATAAAAGGACATATATCT